GGGGGAAGGAGAAGAAAGGGGGGAAGGGGGAGAAGGAAAAGGAAAGGGGAAAGAAAAAAGGGAAAAAGGAAAAGAAAAAAAAGGAAAAGGATGGAGAAGGCATTTTCACACAATACAGACCCATAAGCTTAAAAATACAGCAGGAGGTGACAAGATGCATTTCTGATATTGATCCTGATTTCCATCTCAGTGCAGATGACAGGAAGCTCCACAGTGTACATAGCAATGACCTCGTGATTTACTGAAATAAAGGAGAAGCAACCACCCTGCCATGCTCCTGTTTTTCCCTCCTTCCTGCTCTCACAGGTGATGATTCCAGAGGCCACAGAGCAACTGATCTGAGCAGAGAGCCCTGCAGTGAGGAAGAGTAGGGACCACCTTCCCCCCATGATGCCACTGCTTCAAAATGTTAAAGGACTTTACAGTCCTCAGGTCTTCTGTGGCATGATCCACCCACACTCAATATTGATCTGCCTTCTGTAAAGGCAGCAACTGTTAAGAACATCAATATCCTTATGATATTTTATCTTCCCCACCCTGTAATTAAACTCGTTAATTCATTGTATCACACTGCAGCACAGGAAAAAGTCAGGACCAGACACAGGGGACTATTACAGTGGGGAGGGGATGGCACTTTTAATGACTAGAAAGCATAGGTAGAATTTATTTTGGGCACAATGAGATTAACCAAGAGCAGCAGCCTTTCAGAACAATTCCACCCTTTTGTGTTCCAGAAACACACAGAGCTGTAGCTTCCAGCCCCTGACATTGTACACAGCTCTTTACTTTGAACCCCAAATCTCCTCTGCAGATGCCAAGGCTGACACAAACAGGAGAGCCAGTGCAACTTCAAGCACCCTCAGCAGCACTGACAGGCTGCCACTGGGAACCTCTGCCCCAAAATCCCATCTCAAATCAGAAGCTACTCAACAACCTGATGGAATTATTCTGGCCAATTCACCGGTCTGTGATCCCCATCCTCTTCTTCCATCCTTTTCCCCACTGCCAAGGGGCCAGGATGTCCCTAAAAGAGAGCAGAACCAAGGATTCTCCAGGTTGACATGTTCTCTGGATGACTGGCTTGCACAGATCAGACACACTTCAGCCCTATCTCATTGCTTTTATTCACACGACTTCTTCCAAAATTAAAATAGGCCCCTCCATCTGTGCAATACATCAGACATGGATGGAGGAATAACTGTTACATGACATTCCTTGACAAGGCAGTCTCAGTCCTGCCACATCACCTGGTAGAGAGCAGCTGCAGTGTGCTAACACAGAACTGCTCTGACACCTTCTGGTGACAAAACCCATGACACACAGCCCTTGGGGACAGCAGCGATGAGGACAGGCCAGAGAATTGATCGGAACTGCACCTCTAAGCATGAGCCACGATATACAGGCAGCACTAAACAAGAAGGAGGGCACTGCAGACCATCAGCCTCTCACTCATGTAATACCCCCCTGAATAAATGAAAATGATAAATTAAAAATAACTTAATATTCAAACACATACAGAGTGTAAGGAAAATGTATACTTTTATATGTACACCACCTCCACGATGACATCCATCGTTAACCATTACCCTGAATCTGTATTTAGTACTTTCATATTAAAGATGTTTTCCTTTCAGTAACAGCGTTGTTAAGCAGAATCGCAGGCTCCTCATACACCCCCACTGCTCAGGCTGCATTCTGCCGGAGGGCACAGGAACACTCAGTGCCTTTCACCTGGATAATCACCCGAGAAACGACCTACCCACACCAGCTGAATCACTCTTAAACCTTCACAGAGGTTTAAGCAGCCCCCTACTCCTGTGGGACGTGCAACAAACAAGGAACCAGCGTTATCCCCCTGGGGCAGCCTGGAGGGAGGAAGGATCACCCGGGCAAACAGTGACCACCTCACTGCCTTCAGCAACTGAGCTGGCCTAATCCTTCTGTCCCTCAGCAGCTCTCCAAAAGCACTCCCTGAAACACTAAATAGATATTATTAACTCTAGAGACATTCCATCCTCTTCCCTGCAAAACCACCAGTTTTGCAATGGATTTAAGGTTTATGAGCACAAGAAACAAAGAAACAACTCAGTGTAACAGCCAAGTGACTCCACACTGACACCCCCACACAGTGCTGTGGCTGTGCCCTGCACACTGCAAAGGATGGGGCGCAGAAGTTCACAGGGACTCTCTGCACCTCTGCTCTCCATGCAGCCAGGGATCCAGGAGTTTTTAACTTCATTAAAGCTCACAGAAACACCTGAAATCCTCACAATCAGCCGTTTACCATGCAGGAATCAGCTGGTCTGGCCTCTGTCATCAGTTCCAGAGAGGCAAATCCATGCAGCTCTGAGGGATAGTGCCTGTGGAAGTGCCAAGACACTGTCACCTCAGACCCTGCACCATGCACAGCAAAGTGGAACTGCCTCTTCTCCAAGCAGTTCATGTTTGAGAGGTTCTGCCCATCTTTTGAGCTGGAAACTGAACTATTGTGCCAGTAAAAGCATTTATTTCACGTAAATTATGTGACAAAGTTTGAGTAAGACAGATTTTGTGGCTAAAAGAATTTACAGTCCTAATTAATGCACATAGTGAGTTACTTGATTTCATGTACCTGCAAAAAGCAGCTTCATTCTGCACTACCTACAGTGGCCTCACTCTGCCCTCATACAGAACATGACACCAAACCTCACCTTCCCCTGCAGCACAAGGCCACAGCAGCAGAGAAAATTTAGTATTTCCACATCAGTTAGAAAAACTGGAATTTACTTTACAGTAAATGCAATTCTGCTCATTACTAAAAGAAACCAGATTGCTAATTAACTCATGTAATTCTGCTACAGTCCAAAGTGTGTTTATAACACACATTCAGTGAACCAAAGGTGCAGTTAGAGCAGCTACAAAATAAATGGAAAAAGACGTCATAGAAGAAGCACCATCTTCCCTTGGGCACCAGGGCAACAAATAATGTCTTCATGAGCCTTGGCTACTTTGTCCAGGGGATATTCCGAGCCCACAACGGGTTTCAGCCAGCCAGCTTCTATGCCATCAAGGACTGCTGCGGCACACTCACGCCTTTCCTCCTGAATGTAACAAACACAGAGCTTACGACAAAGTCTTCGCATTTTAGAAAGGTACTGACAGTTTATGCAAGTGTTAAACCAAATTCCACAACCCCAAAATATTTTAAGATGTTCTGAGATCAAAACAAAGGAAGGAACAAAAAAGTTCATTACAGTGAAATTATGCTTTCATCCCTACAAAGGATTTTGACTGGAGATGGAGGGGTGCTGGAATAAGCCAACAAAGCATACTTTAAAAAAGAAATGTTTCTCACCTCAGTTGCAAGAAACAGGCTCACTCCAATTATGCTGGACTCCTTGCTCATAGTGTCTCTTGGATTTATCTCAATGCGTCCCCTGCAGCCCACAACCTGCCCAAACAAATCCAAGGGCTCGAGTCAGAGCTGCTCAGTTGTGATGCTGAATGCGCAGACTGAGTCAGTGACACCAGCACCTACCATCACATTCCTGGGTAGGGACACAAGCACCCACCATCACCCTCCTGGGCAGAGACACAAGCACACACCATCACCCTCCTGGGCAGAGACACAAGCACACACCATCACCTTCCTAGGAAGGGACACAAAAACTCACCATGACCCTCCCGGCAGGGGACAGCAACTGCAGATCAGCATCCAGGTTGACATTTGAGAGCATTTCTATGATGATATCGACTCCCCCTGGCCCTGTGCACTTCTATAGAGGACACAGGGTGTTATTTTAGGGCTCAGGTACCACTGTTTGTTTCATACACTACGGAAAACATCCGCTTTACATCTTATTGTGTAAATTTTCAATACAGCCTTTGCACTACAGCTGAGAGCTACCAAGCTGAACTGTAGCACATTTTGCTGTACTGACTTGTGATGTGCTCCCACACCAGAATGTGCTGCATGGAGGAAGTTCTAAATGACATTGCCTGTGAGGAAAGCTTGGCCTTCCCAGCCTGGAAAGTTTTTTCCTCATATAGAGATGAAAAAGGCAGTACACTATTGCTTCTACATAAATCTACCTTAAAATCTTCTGCAAACAACTGTTCGTACTTTATCAGCAAGAACAACACAGCATGACACATGCCCACCTTAATTCTCTCAATGTAATCAGGATCTCTGTGATTAAAGGCTTGGTGAGCACCATTTCTCAGGATCACATTCATGCCCTCCTCAGTTCCAGCTGTACCCAAAACCTTCAAACCACAGGCTCTGGCAATCTGACATGCTGCTAGTCCCACCTGAGGGGAGAAAAAAAAAAACAAAAGAGAAAACTATTTTACTTCTGTCTTTCATTTTAAATTTTAAATATTCTGCCAGCAACTTGGAACTTCTCAGTTTAAAAAATTGGTCTGGTAACGTAATTTTTAGCCCTAAGTAATTTGGATCTCATAGACAGCCAAATAGTCTTTAAAAAGAAGAAATATTTACAGACATGACAAAGTTTTGAGGTTCTTTAATAGTTTTTTATAAATTATTATGTATATATTTATTTGCTATAAATAGATGTAGAATGTTGTCTGTCCATTAAAACCGAGCCATCCATTTTTGACACAAAGCCAAGAAAATTCTTCTCTTCACAGAATCACCTGCTATTGATACCAGCATTATACACTGCAAAGGAAATCTGCAGGCAGGACTTCATTAACACTACTGTTGCACCTTTCACAAACAGATTACATGATATCTTTAGAAACCAAATTCTCAGTGTCTCCTACCAGCTTTGCACTCCAGTAAGAAGAGAAGCACTACATTTGGTTTATGTAAACAAAAAGAGGCTGTGATGCTGAATGCCATTCTAGTATCTCAGAGAAAAATCTGAATTCATCTTTTTGTTGTCTAACAAGAAAATTTTGTCTATTCATAGTAACTGTTTGGTTGCATCAGCAGAAACTGAGCAAGAAAGAACAAAGCCTGGGAGATAAATTAAACTAGAATGTTGTGTGAGAGAGACCTAAAATTAGCTTGTCATGTGAAAACAAATAAAATGAGAAGATCAGTTTCACATAGTATTCAGTCAGAGATTTATCTATTCCAGCACTTCTCCTTGTGCAGCTCTTAGCTCATGGGTAAAAACACTCCAGAAAGGCACAGCGACCCTGCACCAGTAATTCCTTTCCAGAGGACTGAGAACTTGTCTACATTGGAAAATTACAGCTTTCTGCAATCAGTTTTACACTGTTATTATGCTTCCAGACCAACTTTACATGCAACAGTGTGTGACCCTCTGTGCCAGGACCTCACACCAGCACTTGTGCAGTCTCACAGGTATTGGGAATAACAGGGTTTGCTCTAAGAAAGCATATCCTAGAGTATCTGACATAAAAAACTAATTTGTTAATCTCTCTATTGATGTAAATGTGACCATAACTCACATCCCAGGCAGACACAGAGACAAGTCCAGGAAGCAGCATTCCCTATCCCTTGCTGCCTGGGAATACTTACCCCCCCACTGGCACCATGCACCAGCACACTCTCCCCAGCCTTGGCACAGCCCCTGCGTGAAGAACACAGGACACATTGGCACTGTGACTGAGGGTCAGGCTGCAGGCACTGAACTCAAATCTCATTGTTCACATAGCATTGTTCCCAATTCACATTCCAATTGTGTTCCAAATTTTGGTCCTAATTCATGTTCCAACTTATATTCCAAATTATGTTCCAACTTATCACTAAACAGGTATCATAAGCCTTTCTGGGAGAATAAGGAGGCAAAATAAACCCTGTTACTGATGATCTGAAGCAACACACAGCCAGTGACAGCTTGGTACTGAGCCTCAGCTTGGGCCCATCACCTGTCACAGGGAAGCTCTGCTCTGCAGCTCCTG